TCAAGTGGGCCTTAGGAAGGATCACTATAAACAAAGCTGGTGGAGGTGATGGAATTCCAGCTGAGCTATTTCAAACCCTAAATGACAATGCTGTTAAAGTGCTGCACTCAGTATGCCAAAAAATTTAGAAAACTCAGCAGTGGCCACAGGGCTGGAAAAGGTCAGTTTTCATTCCAATCGCAAAGATCGGCAGTGCCAATGAATGTTCAAACTACTACACAATTGCAATCATTTCACACACTAGCAAAGTAATGCTCAAAATTCTCCAAGCTAGGCTTCAACAGTACATAAGCCATGAACTGCCAGATGTTTGAGCTGGATTTAGAGAAAGAGGAACCAGAAGTCAAATTACCAACATCCATTGGATCAAAGAAAAAGCAGGAGAGTTCCAGAAAAACATCTACTTCTTCTTCATTGACTATGCCAAAGCCTTCGACAGTGTGAAACACAGCCAACTGTGGAAAATTCTTCAAGAGATGGGACTACCAGACCTCCTGACCTGCCTCTAGAGAAATCTATATACAGGTCAATAAGCAACAGTTAAAACTGGACATGGAACAACAGGGTTCCAAATAGGGAAAGGAGTATGTCAAGGATGTATATCATCACCGTGATTATTTAATTTATATGCAGAGTACATCGTGCGAAATGCCGAGCTGGATAAAACACAAGGTGGAATCAAGATTGCCAGGAGAAATATCAACAACCTCTTATATGCAGATGACACCACCCTTATGGCAGAATTTGAAGAAGAACTAAAGAGCATCTTGATGAAAGTGAAAGAGGAGAGTGAAAAAGTTGGCTTAAAACTCAACATTCAAAAAATGAAGATCGTGGCATCCGGCCCCATCACTTCCTGGTAAATAGATGCAGAAACAATGGAAACAGTGACAGACTTAATTTACTTGGGCTCCAAAATCAGTGCAGATTGTGACTGCAGCCATGAAATTAAAAGACATTTGTTCATTGGAAGAAAACCTATGGACAATCTAGATAACATGTTAGAAAGCAAAGACATTACAAAGGTCCATCTAGTCAGAGCAATCATTACACAATGGTATTAAGTGAATGATACTTACATAATCTTGAGAAGGAGATGATATCCCACTCCAGTACTCTTGCCTGGAAAATCCCATGGATAGAGGAGCCTGGTGGGCCATGGTCCATGGGGCTGCAGAAAGTTAGACACGACTGAAGTGACTGAGCATGCATGCACTTATATAATCACAATAGTAGCAAATGTTTATCAGCTTTCACAATCAGTAGACAAAAAATAAAAGATTATTACAATCGCAAGCCATAATGGGAACATGATTAACTTAACAATATAAAATAACTACACACCACTTCTGGGCATACACACTGAGGAAACCAGATCTGAAAGAGACACGTGCACCCCAATGTTCATTGCAGCACTGTTTATAATAGCCAGGACATGGAAGCAACCTAGATGCCCATCAGCAGACGAATGGATAAGGAAGCGGTGGTACATATACACCATGGAATATTACTCAGACATTAAAAAGAATTCATTTGAATCAGTTCTAATGAGATGGATGAAACTGGAGCCCATTATACAGAGTGAAGTAAGCCAGAAAGATAAGGAACATTACAGCATACTAACACGTATATATGGAATTTAGAAAGATGGTAATGATAACCCTATATGCAAAACAGAAAAAGAGACACAGATGTACAGAACAGACTTTTGGACTCTGTGGGAGAAGGCGAGGGTGGGATGTTTCGAGAGAACAGCATGTATATTATCTATAGTGAAACAGATCACCAGCCCAGGTGGGATGCATGAGACAAGTGCTCGGGCCTGGTGCACTGGGAAGACCCAGAGGAATCGGGTGGAGAGGGAGGTGGGAGGAGGGATCGGGATGGGGAACACATGTAACTCCATGGCTGATTCATGTCAATGTATGACAAAACCCATTGCAATGTTGTGAAGTAATTAGCCTCCAACTAATAAAAATAAATGAAAAAGAAAAAAATAAAATAAATAAAATAAAATAACTACACACAATTTGGGAGGGTCAAGCAGAATGATGTGGTAAGTGAAAGTGTATACATGCACAAGTTTTCATCCACCCAGCCCATCTATTTCTTTTGGCTGGTGTATTTAACCCACTTGTATTTAAGGTAATTGTTGATATGTTTGATACTATTACAGTTTTCTTGTTTTGGATTTATTTTCTGTAGTTCTTTCCCTTCTTTTGTGTTTCCTGCCTAGAGAAGTTCCTTTAGCGTTTGTCATAAAGCTGGTTTGGTAGTGCTGAATTATCCTAACTTTTGCTTTTCTGGGAAGCTTTTTATTTCTCTGTCAAATCTGAAGGAGAGTCTGCTGGGCAGTCTTATTTATAGGTTCTTCCCTGTCATCACTTTGTTATATCACCTTACTGACTTGTAGAGTTTCTGTTAAGAAATCAGCCAGTAGCCTGATGGGAGTTCCCTTTTATGTCATCTGTCATTTTTACCTTGTTGTTTTTTTAATATTTTATCTCTGTCTTTACTTTTCATTAGTTCCATGTGTTCCTCCTTAGGTTTATCCTTCCTAGGACTCTGGGCTCCCTGGACTTAGTTGACTATTTCCTTTCCCATATTCGGGAAGTTCTTAGCTATTGTCCCTTCAAATGTTTTCTCAGGTGCTTTCTCTCTCTCTTCTCCTTCTGGGACCCTATAATGTAAATGCTGGTACATTTAATGTTGCCCCAGAGGCCTCTTATGCTGTCTTCATTTCTTTCTCATCTTTGTTTGCTTATTCTTTAGTTCTTGTAGGTCTTTGGCAAACATTTCTTGCATCTTCTCAATCTTTGCCTCCATTCTTTCCTGATAGTCTGGATCATCTTCACTGTAATTATTCTGAGTTCTTTTTCTGGAAGGTTACCTATTTCCACTTCACTTAGCTGTTTTTCTGGAATTGTAAATAGTCCCTTCATCCAGGACACAGCTTTTTACTTTTTCATCATGATTAACTTTCTGTAAAATGGTTTTTGCTATGGTTTTCATCAGCCCTGGGCTCTCTGGTAGGATTAATACCTTTCAAGAAGGTTTTTAGGGGGACTTTTAAGGGGGGCCTTCCAGTGCCCCAGTCCCAACGGTGAGCCCCTGCTGATTCATACTTCCACAGAAGGCCCTCCAACAGTAGCAGGTAGTTTTAATTCAGTCTCCTGTAAGGTCATTGCTCTTCTCCTCTCTGTCTTGGTGTACACAAAATTTTGTTTGTACCCTCCAAGACTGGAGTCTCTGTTTCCCTCAGTCCCCTGGAAGGCCTATAATCAAATCCCACTGGTCCACAAAGCCAAATTCCCTGGGGATTCCCAGTCCTTTTCTTGTATCTCAGGGTTGGAAAGCCTGACATAGGGTTTAGAACCTCTACAACAGTGTGAGAATTTCTTTGTTATTACTGTTCTTCAGTCTGTGAGTCAGCCACCCAGAGGGTATGAGATTTGATTTTATTGTGATTGCGCCCCTCCTACCATCTCACTGTGACTTCTTCTTTAGTTTTGAACATGGGTTATCTTTTTTAAGAGGGTTCCAGCGTCCTCCCCTCAATGGTTGTTCAACAGCTAGCTGTGATATTGGTGCTTTCACAGGAGTAGATGAGTGCACATTCTTATACTCTGCCATCTTGAACCAGAAGCCAATCTTAGTTTTTGAATGTTGAGTTTTAAGCCAACTTTCTCATACTCCTCTTTTATCTTCATCAAGAGGTTCTTTAGTTCCTCTTTGCTTTCTGCAATTAACCTAGAAGCCCATCTATTTTAACCATTTCACTAAATACTCCTCATTGTGTGCTACTTATTTAATGACTGAATTATTCCTCATAAAAACTTGATAAACTAAATGACATTTATTTGTCATCATGTTCATTTATAGATAAGGAGAATAAACATTAAGATCCGAGGTCAAAGAATTCATGTTCATAGTTATCTAATATAAAAAGCTTAAAAAAAATGCAGAGTTACAATGAATAAAATTACAAAGGATAGTTGTAGTTTACATTACCTCATTTTCTTCTCAAAATCATTGTAAAATAATGTATAACTGAGGCTCAGAAACAGAATATGCTAAATAAGTAAGCAATATGCAAAATTGATTTTTGGAAGCACAATAAAATGTATCATTTATGAGGGCACTATATAGCATTGAGACTAAAAACATAGGCTTTGCTATGCAAAACACTGTGTGACCTTTGATAAGATACTCATCCCCCTTTTTTAATATGTAAAATGACTTTAAAAAAAACACTGACCTAATAGTACTCTTGTGAGAGATTCAATGAGATAATATATGCTAAAATTCAGCACAGTTACTGATACATAACACAGACTGATCAGATGATGAATTTTAGTAATGGTTAAATAATAAGGTAAGATGGACTGATAATAAAGTAATATTACCATTTATTTAACTCTTTCAGCAAACACATATTGAGTGCCTCTTACTTGTTTGCAATGTTGCCCAAATGGAAAGATAAAATGAAAAACCTGAAATGTCTTTTGTAGAGTTCAAACTAAAATGAACACAAGAACAATCATAACTATAATACCTTAAGTGCTATATGTTAATATATAACAAGATGGCATGACTAAGTATCCTAAAAGCCTGCAGAAGGGGATATTAAACAGAAGCAAGAGTTTGATCAGCAGAACCCTGGACAGGCTCAGGATTTGAAGGCATCAGGCAGAAGAGAAGAGGAGCCTTTAGAGAAAGTGAACAGTTCCAGAGAAGTGATCTACAGGACCATGTGAAAAAATTCATGATGAAAATCTACGAAAACAGTATGAGAAGAGTTCTCGTTTTATGAAAGTTGGCTATGAGAGAGATTTTTTGCGATACTTACAGAGTTTACTGGCAGAAGTAGAATGTAGAATTAGACGAGGCCATGCTCGTTTGGCATTGTCTCAAAACCAGCAGTCGTCTGGGCTGGTCCAACAGGCAAAAATGAAGAAAAAATTCAGGTTCTAACAGATAAAATTGATGTACTCTTGCAGCAGATTGAAGAATTAGGATCTGAAGGAAAAGTAGAAGAAGCCCAGGGAATGATGAAATTAGTTGAACAGTTAAAAGAAGAGAGAGAGTTGCTTAGGTCCACAACTTCGACAATTGAAAGTTTTGCTGCCCAAGAAAAGCAAATGGAAGTTTGTGAAGTGTGTGGAGCCTTTTTGATAGTGGGAGATGCCCAGTCCCGGGTAGATGATCATTTGATGGGAAAACAGCACATGGGCTATGCCAAAATTAAAGCTACTGTAGAAGAATTAAAAGAAAAATTAAGAAAAAGAACTGAAGAACCTGATCGTGATGAGCGTTTAAAAAAGGAGAAGCAAGAACGAGAAGAAAGAGAAAAAGAAAGGGATTGGGAAAGAGAAGAGAGAGAGAGAGGAAAAGACGAAGAGAAGAGGAAGAAAGAGAAAAAGAAAGAGCTCGAGACAGAGAAAGAAGAAAGAGGAGTCGATCAAGAAGTCGGCATTCAAGCCGAACTTCTGACCGAAGATGCAGCAGGTCTCGGGACCACAAAAGATCACGAAGTAGAGAGAGAAGGCCAAGCAGAAGTAGAGATCAACGAAGAAGCAGAAGCCATGATAGATCAGAAAGAAAGCATAGATCTCGTAGTCGGGATCGAAGAAGATCAAAAAGCAGAGATCGAAAGTCATATAAGCACCGGAGCAAAAGTCGAGACAGAGAACAAGATAGAAAATCAAAGGAGAAAGAAAAGAGGGGATCTGATGATAAAAAAAGTAGTGTGAAGTCCAGTAGTCGAGAAAAGCAGAGTGAAGACACAAACACTGACTCAAAGGAAAGTGATACTAAGAATGAGGTCAATGGGACCAGTGAAGACATTAAATCTGAAGGTGACACTCAGTCCAATTAAAACTGATCTGATAAGACCTCAGATCAGACAGAGGAATACTGTTGGAAGATTTTTGGAAGAAAACTGAAAACGGCATAAAGTGAAGATCGACATTAAAATGAGGTGAAAGAAAACTATAGTGGCATAGAAAAAGTATAAAGCTCGGTTAGTTTGTTTGTTTTTTTTTAATTAAAAATTAATTCAGGACTGATGTGACCTATCAGATTTCAGAACATGTATTAATAGCATATATATGCCACTGAAAACTTAGGTCCTGTATCATATCTTTTTCTTTAAGACTTTTTAAGAAATATTACCTAAACATGTGGCTTGCTCAGTGTTTAACTGCAAGTTTTCATTCTTGGGACTTTGAAAACGAGATTAAAAGTTAATATTTTTGTGAATCAGACTAAGTGGGATTCCATTTTTACAACTCTGCTATACCTAGCCTTTGGATTTAGAAGTGAAAATAAAGTATCTCCGACTTTCTGTTAAAAAAAAAAAATGTCTTTTGTAGAGTTCAAACTAAAATGAACACAAGAACAATCATAACTATAATACCTTAAGTGCTATATGTTAATATATAACAAGATGGCATGACTAAGTATGAAGAGGATAAGGTAATTTTGAATAAAATGATGGCATCCAGGACAGGTTCAAGGTACAAAAAGTTTTTTACATTTTATATGAGAAAGTATAAATTTTAAGTTGAGTAGTATAAGTGAAGGGTCACATATAATGAAGGCATAATCATAGAATTATCAAGTATTAAGAATCAAGTATCAAGAATCAAGTGAAGGAGTCAAAACAGAAAATGTAAGAATAAACTTGGAAGCAGATTATATGTGGTCTTAAATGGTTTTCTTAGGAGCTTAAAGTGGAAATGTAGGCAATGGAGAAACAGCAAAAGTCATGCAGTTAAGTGTTTACTTCAAGAAGATAAATTTTGTGGAAATGTTAATGAAAAAAATTAGGAGACATTGCTGAAAGGGAAATCTAGTAAATAAATGATGAAAAAAAAAGGAATTGTAATATTAAAAATGGATTTGTAAAGAGATAGTAAATCTGATGGGTACTGGGGATTTATCCTAAATTGGATTTAATGTTGCATTGGATTTGGAGGCTGACCATGGTGATTATGGGACTATCATCAGGGCTTCTTGTCCAGAAAATGAAATGACTGATGATGCCATTTAATCACATTTTAAGGGCCATTTATTTGGTGGCAAAGTGAATAATGGGTTGTTTTACCTATGTTGAGATAATAACTAAAGATGTCCAATGAGAATTTGAGATACAGTAATGACATTTAGAGTACTGGAGTTGTAAATACAGATATGACAATTGTTAATGTTGAAGTTGTAGCATGGAAATGAGCCACACTGTTTAGGTAGAATGCTTAGGAAGTTATGGCAGAATCTAAATGGAAGCTGGGGCTCCCCAGGGTGGCTCAGTGGTAAAGAAAACACCTGCAGTGAAGGAATGTGGGTTCAATTCCTAGATCAGGAAGATCCCCTGGAAAAGGAAATGGCAACCCACTCCATTATTTTTGCCTGAGAAATCCCATGAACATAGGAGCCCGATGAGCCACAGCCCATGGGGTCATAAAGATTCAGACATGACTTAGTGACTAAACAACAATATGAAACCTACAAGAAATCCACCAGTGCTTTCTTATCTTCCTAGTTATTCCTCATATGTACAACTCATGATAGAGGATTGATGTTGGATACAATTGGACTCAGCTTTGCTGAAGAATTGATGCTTTTGAACTGTGATATTGGAGAAGACTCTTGACAGTCCCTTGGACTGCAAGGAGATCAAATCAGTCAATTATAAAGGAGATTAGTCCTGAATATTCACTGAAATGACTGATGCTGAAGCTGAAGCTCCAATAATTTGGCGACCTGATGCAAAGAACTGACGTATTAGAAAAGACCCTGAGGCTGGGAAAGATCGAAAGCAGGAGGAGAAGGTGATGACAGAGGATGAGATGGTTGGACAGCATCATCAACTCGATGAACATGAATTTGAGAAAGTTCTGAGAATAGATGATGGACAGGGAAGCCAGGCATGCTGCAGTCCATGGGGTCGCAAAAAGTCAGACACGAATGAGTGACTGAACTGACTGAATGATGCTTCAGTTCAATTCAGTTGCTCAGTCATGTCTGATTCTTTGCAACCCCATGAATCACAACACGCCAGGCCTCCCTGTCCATCCCCAACTCCCAGAGTCCACCCATACTCATGTCCATCTAGTCAGTGATGCCATCCAGCCATCTCATCCTCTGTCATCCCCTTCTCCTCCTGCCCCCAATCCCTCCCAGCATCAGGGTCTTTTCCAATGAGTCAACTCTTCGCATGAGGTGGCCAAAGTACTGGAGTTTCAGCTTCAGCATCAGTCCTTCCAATGAACACCCAGGACTGAGTTTAGGATGGACTGGTTGGATCTCCTCACAGTCCAGGGGGCTCTCAAGAGTCTTCTCCGACACCACAGTTCAAAAGCATCAATTCTTCGGTGCTCAGCTTTCTTCACATTACAACTCTCACATCCAACATGACCACTGGAAAAGCCATAGCTTTGACTAGACAGACCTTTTTTTGGCAAAGTAATGTCTCTGCTTTTTAATATGCTATCTAGGTTGGTCAAGAATAGAAAAATTTAATTGTCTCCTTTTTTTTTCCAATCAAATATTTTGCAAGTATTTTCCTTGCTGTTCATGCCTTTCATATATATATATACACATACACACACAGAGAAGTAAAACTATTCTCCTAATTAAAGTAAAATGCAAATACCCTCATTGGTTTCCCCGACAAATATTTTAAAACCCCACATTCCAAGCATTTGTATTTTCTAAACTAGTAAACACACACACACACACACACACACACACACACACAGTTACAGAGCACTTTTGAGACAGCCATCAAATTATCTATTGAATTTTGCCAAGTAGAAATCCTAGAGGAAAAAAGGAAGCACAGCATAGAGTAAAAATCTGACATTTACTTTAATTATCATTTACAAAATATTTTAATATTCCAAAAAGAAGAAAGACATTATCTCCAGATTAGAAGAGTTTGAGGTTTTCTCGGTAAAGGGCAACTATAAATCATAAGTCAATGAATCCTTTGTCCTTGCTTTACTCATCTTAGTGTTTTAACTCCTTTCCAAGTCTAAGATGTTTACTATTTTTCCATGAGGAAGATTCCACAGTGCTTTTGCAGTTTTCTCCTTGAGTATAACTTCTCCAAAACTAATAACGTATTCATGTGTAATGTCCAATCTAGATAAAACTAATGAGTAAATCATTGTTTTAAGTTTTCTCTTGTTTTTATTGTTGTTTGCATTTCTTAAGACATGTATTATGACCTGTAATCTGATGAAATACTTCTACTGGCATTTCTTCATAGCAACAGTCATTCTGTCAGGTTTAGCTTTTTTTTGGTGTATTATTATATCTATAATACTAAATTTCTTTTTCAATTTATTTATTTGTAATTAAAGAATAATTGCTTTACAGTATTGTGTTGGTTTCCACCAAACATCAACATGAATCAGCCATAGGTTTACACATGTCACCTCCTACTTAAACATCCTTCCCACCTCCCTCCCATCCCACCCCTCTGTGTATGATTTATTTTGTAAATTTCTTCAGGCAGAAGGAATATGATATAGATCAAAATCTCACATCTAATTAAAAAAATTAAGAGTATTGGAAATGGAAGTAAAATAAAAATAATTTTATTTCATTCTTAATTGATTGTAAAAGTAACTAACTCCTGAAATAAAACATAGTAGTTTTGTGCTTATATCTTGTGAAGAATAAAATTTATGACCACAATAGCACAACAAGTAGGAGAGAGAAATAGGTAATATGCAATTATAAGGTCCTTACATGGCATACATGTCATTATAACGCTGTTTAAAGATAGATAATTATTGTATTAAAGTGTGTATCTTACAGTACTCTAAAAATTAAATAATAAGAAAAGTAACTGACTTAAAAGCCAAAATATTTTACCATAAGTTTTATGAAAATATATGGAGAGGGCAAATAAACAGGTGAACATAATTAACATCATTTAATCATTAGGTAAATGCAAATTAAAACTGTATAGAGCAGTTCTGCATTGCTAACAGAAATGTAAAATGGTGCTATGGTCCTATTTTACCACTTAAGAACAGTTTGACAATTTCTTAAAAAGTTAAATATAAATTTACTATATGAGATGAATTTTTACAAAGATGGAGTAAGGACCTTCTAATATTGACTCCTCTAGAATGCAATGAGAAATTTTGTCCTAACAGTTAAAATCGAAAATTTCCATCAATCCAAGATGCATTTATTTAAGAAAAACAGTAGAATCTTGGGATGAACAGTGAGCTTTTGACATTTTATCCTTTCTCCATCTTAAGGAGTCCTATCCCTACCTTCATGGTATCTTTGAAAACTATTTGTCTTGTAAAGACAGTAGCCCTGAAAATAAACAACCTAGTATTCAGTGTGGAAACAGAATGGGTTTGAAGCTCCCCAAAAGCTCAAACTCTAGAGTTTTATCATTATTTGAACTGTCTGGCAGTTCCCTGGAAAATTGCTATTCTAAGTGATTTTCTTTGTCACTGTGACACAAAATTTGTTCAGTGAGTTAAGTCCTCTCCCCAAGGACTTTTGTTTAAAAATCTCAATGCCAATTGTTTAACATTGTAGCTCCCTGGGGTTGTGACACTAGTTGGAAAAAATGAGACAGATAAACTTACCTGAAAGATATGCCCAGAAAGACCTGAGAGGGTCTCATTTCTTTTTGAACTTGAGGTTCCTACACAAGCAGTTAAGTGAAGGTCAAAAACAAGTTGTATAAACTACTTGTCTATTTAAGGCATATCTCTCA